GACTCTCCACCCGCAGCAGGACCAGACTCAGCAGCAACCTCGACTGGCTCGACTGTGTCTACCAGGGACACACCTGAAGGGGCAGGAACCTGAGGGGGGAGGGGGTCTACCGGGGGGGGAACTGGCACCAGGAAGTCCGGTGGGGGGGGGAGGGAAGGAGTACGGTAGGGGAAGAGGCGGTAGAAGGGGACTGACTCGTCGAACGTGACGTCCTAGGAGGACAGAACACGACGAGAGGAGGGGTGGTAGAACTGCCACCCTGGAGCGTCAAGGGGGAAGCCAAGGAAGACACAGGGAGCAGCACGGGGGGACAGCTTGTCCGCAGACAAGTCGCGGACAAACGCCCGAGATCCCCAGACACGGAACGCAGACGCATCGCCGACCTTCCCCGTCCACAGTGACACTGGGGACATCGCGGGCCGAGAGACCCTGGGGTGAAGGTTGAGCTGATGCGCCGCGTACCGAACCGCAAACGGCCACAGAAAATGGGGGGCAGCCGCATGCATCATGGACGTACGAGCGACATCCATGACCATGCCAATGCGGCGCTCAGCAATCCCATTTTGCTGTGGAGAGTCCGGAAGCGTAAAGGTCTGGCGGATCCCCTGTGCACGACAGTAGTCTCGCAGAAGGCGAGAGGAGAACTCCCCACCTCGGTCAGAGTGCAGACGCAGAACAGGAAAGTCCGAGCCGAAGCTCCTCCTGAGCTGGAGACGAGCCTCGCGGATCCAGTCGATCAGCACCTCAGTGACAGCACCCTTGTTGCGCAAGGGGAAGACTGAGGTGTAACGCGAGTAGTCGTCAACCACCAACAGGAAGTAGCGCTCGTGACCCTGCCCACGGACGGGGGCCGGGCCCCACACGTCCATGTGAAGCGTCTGCAGAGGAGCCTCTGTCGGGGGAAACTGGGAGGAGTGAGGAGCAGCCTTGAGGCGCCCCTCGACACAAGGGACACAGGAAGGTCCTGGTCCCGAAGGAAGGGGAGGGAGAGACTGGGGAAGACCAGAGACAAGGACACGGGAAGCCATGCCCCGAAGACGGGGCAAGGAGGGGTGGCCTAGACGGTGGTGCCACAGGAGAGTCTCGTGAGACAGGAGGCGACACGAACAGGGGGCAGACTCAGGACCAGACCTGGACGCAGCAGCAAACACCTGACCCGACGCTGCTACCTGACCGGACGCGGGGACAGGAGGAGACTCAGTGGTCAGGGTGTAGAGGCTCGACCCCGGCCGACGCGAGAACGTGGCCAGGTGCCGGCCTGTGCGTGCGTCCGTGCAGTGGGTCACCCGCTGACTCGCAGGAGTGAACTGGTGAACCCCCGCATCCTGTAGGTCTGCACCACTCACCAAGTTCGTCGAGAACGAGGGGAGGTACAGGCCAGACAGGGTGCCCGAGGGGGCAGCCGGACACGGGAGGACAGTGGAGAAGTGAGCGAGGACAGGACCCCCAGATGGGTCAGCCAGGGAGACTGCAACCGGCCGACCAAGCGGCGTGAGTGTGGTGCGGTCCCGAAAGAAGGAGCGAGAAGCCCCAGAGTCAAGTGTAAAGGTGAGGGAGGCCGAAGCCAACGCGGTACCTGAGAGCGCAGCCTCACCCGCACCTGAGGAAGCAGACTCACTAGCACCTAGAGCAGCAGCCGCACCTGTACCTGGAGCAGGAGACTCACTAGCACCCAGAGCAGCAGCCTCACCAGTAGCTAGAGCAGCAGGTCCTATACCTAGGTCAGGCGGGACGCACAGGTGACCGGCATGGTCAGCACTAGTAGGCAATGCATACATGGCAGTGAGAATAGCATCATAGTCAAGAGCATATATATCTACCCTCTGCCTAAGCAACTCCACCCAGTCGGGAAGCTCAGCCTCGTCGCCAAACACGGTACGCCAGGCGTCGCTCAGACGGGCAAAGCAGCGGGACTGTGTATGACTACGTGTCCCACAAGGCTGACCAGTCCGAGTACCAGTGCGAATCACGTAAGAGCAGCGGACAGCACTGAGAGACCCTCCACTCTGAGCGTACCACTCACGAAGCTGGCGAGGCGTGAAAGACACGCGAGAGGGTCGCGGGAGCTGCATCTGGCCGCCACGACGAGTAGAAGCAGCAGGAGTGGAAGTAGGAGTAGCGTCGCCACCCCTACAGCCCCAACCAGCATACCACTCACGCAGCTGCTGGGGCGTGAGGGACTCACGCAGGCGTCGCTGGGGCTGCATCTGGCTCCGCAAGTAGAAGCAGGAGCAGGACTAGCAGCAGGAAGGCAGGCAGCCAGGCAAGCCAAAAGGCAGGCAGGCAGGCAAGCAGGCGACGCGCAGCGTGCTAGCAGGGCAAGAGCTCACCAGTGGTGGGAAGAGTAGGCTCGGCGACTCAGCGGCTCGGCAGCTCGGCGGCTCGGCGGCTCGGGCGACTCGGGCGGCTCGGCGGCAAGGCGGCTCGGCAGCAACTGCAGCTCAGCAGCTCGGTGACTCGGCGGCTCGGCGGCAGGGCGGCTCGGCAGCAACTGCAGCTCAGCAGCTCAGCGACCTGGTGGCTCGGCGGCAGGGCGGCTCGGCGGTGGGGCGGCTCGGCTGCTGCAGGTGAGCGATGAAGGAGGAGGAGAAGCAGAGGAGGCCACACACCTGCCACCCCTCTGCTGGCCTCTCCGCAAGCGGCCCCCTCAGGTCGCCTCGACAGGCGACGGGAAAAGGGGGGGGTGGGTGGTGGGGGCCGGTAGGTGCAGCGGCGGGGCCAGCAGGTGCAGTTGCGGGGCCGGTAGAAGGGGACGGCAGCCTGGGCGGTCGTGGGCGGCTCACGCTGGGCGGGTGCACGGGCGGCTCGGCGGGCGGCGTACAGGCAGCTCACGGGCGGCTGCGACGGGCGGCTCGCGGGCGTCGGGCGCTAGGGCGCTGGGGCGACGACGGGCGGCGCTCAGGCGTCAGAGCGGGCGGCCGTCAGGGCGCTAGGGCGGGCGGCGCTCAGGCGTCAGGGCGGGCGGCCGTCAGGGCGCAAGGGCGGGCGGCGCTCGGGCGCTAGGGCGAGCGGCGCACGGGCGCTAGGGCGGGCGGCCGTCAGTGCGCTAGGGCGGGCTGCGCTCGGGCGCTAGGGCGGGCGGCGCTCGGGTGCTAGGGCGGGCGGCCGACAGGGCGCTAGGGAGGGCGGCCGTCAGGGCGCTAGGGCGAGCGGCGCACGGGCGCTAGGGCGGGCGGCCGTCAGGGCGCTAGGGCGGGCGGCGCTCATGCGCTAGGGCGGGCGGCGCTCGGGCGCTAGGGCGGGCGGCCGTCAGGGCGCTAGGGCGGGCGGCGCTCGGGCGCTAGGGTGGGCGGCGCTCGGGCGCTAGGGCGGGCGGCCGTCAGGGCGCTAGGGCGGGCGGCCGTCAGGGCGCTAGGGCGGGCGGCGTTCGGGCGCTAGAGCGGGCGGCCGTCAGGGCACTAGGGCGGGCGGCCGTCAGGGCGCAAGGGCGGCGGCGCTCGGGCGCTAGGGCGGGCGGCCTTCAGAGCACTAGGGCACATCGAAAAAAAAAGAGGTACTAGGGCCCGGAGCGCGCTCCGGGCAGGAAAAAAAAGGTTAAGAGGTAGCGGTGGTGGGCCCTACGAACAGTTCCCACAGGGGAACCTGCTCGATACCATGTGAGAATAAGCGAACAGGAATGAATGAACTAGCAGTGAAATGAGTACAAGTAGGAAACCCTAGAATTGTGTACCCCCTATAGGCTAACCCACTATAGCCTACACAAGCAGAACATATATAATGTTTGACAGCTGTGATCTACCCTGAGCCTGCTTTGCTTTGCTTGACTGGTCTTGTGACCTCTTGTTCTCTCCCACTTTGCCTATGGGGGCGTGTCAAAGTTATATGCTATAGTCTTTGTAGGCTGTAGTGGGGTAGACAATGTGGGGTACAACACTTTTAGGTTTTCCTACTTGTACCCACCTGTTTCCCAGTGCATTCATTCCCCATTTCTTCACAATTCCTATTATCCAAACTAGCTCTCATACCATGTTAGAGTGAAGACCGTTGTTATGATATGAGTGCCTTGAAAAGTTTGGTAGCGGAATTCTTATGGTAGGAACTGTGGTCATAGTGAATGTAAATGATAATGTTGATTAAAACATAAAATTACACACAATAAATAGATCTAACTAGCCATGTACTCTGAGGGGTACATTCCCTTAATCAAACTGCTTTACTGGCAATTCTACAGTGACTCTGACCGTTGCACTTCTTGTTACTGAGTCGCTGCGTGTAACCGTACGCAGAGTTACGCGTGTTATCATTCGTCGATGGTAAGTCAATCGTCGGTTCAGATGGTCAACTGTCACGATAGTTGACTCTTGCGACTGTTGACCTTCCTGCCCTTGATACGGGCTGATCCAATACTATGCTAGCGCTGCTTCGATAATGACGGATGCGATACTGCTGCACCTACGGGAATGCTAAGTATAATTCCCTTCATACTCCAACACTGTTCTAATAATGCCGCTGTTAAATATGATTTCATATTATATACATGTTGGGTAGAGTTGCAATTCCTTCATTTTAACCTGTTATGGAGCTGTTGGGGTGAATCTATATGTACGATGTATTTTCTGGTTGAGATGTGATCTCTTAATCCCTTTTAATATGATGCCTCATATTACGTTTTTTTTCTAGAATAATGGGCTCACTTCGTTAGTGCATTCAAGAGGTGTAGTGGAACAACGGAGAGGCCAATAACGGACTTACAAGAATATAGAATCAATGTTTTCCTGACATCCGGCCTGTCCTGTTGGTTGCATTTTCGGCGGTGCTAGTTTCAACCGCCAACCTCGAATGTCTCTAGATCGGGATGATCACGTTGACTGCTGCATCCCTTGCTGTTGCTCAATTTCGAGCTGCCATCTTTTCTCTGTCTAATATCGCCGTTGGTTGCTTTATCGGACTTCAGATTAATCGTGTAGCTTGATTCCGGCGACGACCTTGCTGTTGTAGTCGCGTGATGGCTCACAGTCAAGCACAAGCACGGAGACCAAAATCAAGCATCGCGACGGCAGATGATCCGAAAAGCGTCGCGACGGCAGATTCGAAAAGCGTCGCTGACGGCAAACCAGGCGATGCTTCTGGTGACGTCATCATCGCTCCGCCGCTGAACAGATGGTCGCGGCGCGTCCGCGTGGGGATCTTCGCGGCGTGCGTCCTCACTCCCGTTATAGTGGCGTTTCTCGTGATGGACCTGGATCCGTTAGAGCGACGATCCATTACAATCAACGCCGTTATGAGCGTCGCGGGATTCTTTATAACGACGAAACTCATTCCGTTGGCGGTGCCTTATATGTTGCGGAGAAACATGTTCGGATTCGATATAAACAAGCGAGGTTCCCCAGCTGGAGAAATCAAGATGTGAGTACAACGAACGGTGAGAAGCACTGATATATCAACACTGCTCAGATGTGCTGCTTACGAGCGATGCTCTCAGCCGGCAATTCCAAGTGTGATATTAGTGAAGGGGAGAGTAATGTTCCAAGTGTACCCAGGGTCGATTGGGTAGTGGTAGTGTGCATCATTCCCACTTCCACTCACCCTTTCCCTCCCTCCCCCGTACTGCGGGACTCAGGATCGGGTTTGGTGGTACCCACTGTGTGCTCATGGGTGGATAGGTGGTACTGTGCATTTCCTTTGTCAACCGTGCACCCCCATGCCCCCCATTCCATGCTTGCCCCACACTCCCCAGACCCGAGACGTGAATGGTGACTCCCCCTTGTCACCTGTGCTGTGCATGTACCCCCATGCACCCCATGACCCCCATGGCTCCATGCAACCCCATGCCATGTGCTTCCACACTACCCCCTATCCAGACCCGAGACGCAGGGACTGGTGGTGGCGCTCGTGTACCTGGTGGTAACCATCCTTTTCCAGCACTTCTACTTCACGCCTGACTCGCCTGTGAGTGCCTCCCAGGTGATGTTTCAGGTGTTTCTTCAGCTATAGCGAGCTCAGGTAAGATATGCAGGTCCTTGCTCAGCTGATCCCACTCTCACGCTGCATTCTCCCCTTATCATGTCCTTCTCAGCTCCCTCTCCTCGCTCCCGTGCGCCCCTCGCCCCACTTCTCCCTGCCATCCCCCCTCTGCCCGCGTGCATCAGCGGACCCAACAGCTGCTGGAGCCAAACGCGCCTTTGGCTGTTTATCCTGGCCGGATTGGGACGGGCGTGCATCTGCTTCGTGGCCTTGCCTGCTTCTACCCACTCGCCCGTGCACATCCACTTCTACCCACTCGCCCGTGCACATCCACTTGTACCCACTCGCCCGTGCACATCCACTTCTACGCCCCCTCTCCCAGTGCCGTGCCTGCTCTCTGCGCATCTGCTTCAGAACAATGCAGCGTTGGCGAGCATCTGCTTCACGGCCTTCCTGGGCTTCGTTCAGTCCCCCTTGCTATCCCACCGCTCCCTCTCCCCTCTCTTCCCCCCTCCAGTGGCTGCTTGAGTACAACGCAGTGCTGGCGTGCATCTGCTACATGGCGTGCATCTGCTACATGGCGTGCATCTGCTACATGCCGTGCTCTACTCACTTTTACCCACTCACCCCCTGCTCGCCCCCTCCTACCTTTCTCCCCCTTCGCTCCCCCACCTGCCGTCCCCCCCCATGGGGCAGTGGCTGCTGGAGTACAATGCAGCGCTCGCGTGCATCTGCTACATGGCCTTCCTGGGCTTCATCGACGATGTGCTCGACATCCCCTGGCGCGTGTCAGTGCTGCTGGGGGGTGCTGCTGGGGGGTGCTGCTGGGGGGAATGGATCATATCAAGGGCACGTTTGGGCTCGGGAAGATGGGCAGGGGAGGATGGGCAGGGGAGGATGGGCAGGGGAGGATGGGCAGGGGCAGATGGGCAGGGGGGAGATGAGATGAGGTTACTTTCGGGGCCCTTTTCCCCTCCCCTCCCACGTCTCCTAACGTCCTTAGCCATTTGAGACGCCTCACAAGGTCTCCCGCCATCCCGCATGCTTCATGTCATTCTGTACCTCGTCCTTTACCGCTCTGCGTCTCCGTGAAAGAAGAGTGTTTTTGAGACGTCTCACAAACACTCTTCTTTCACGTGGCTACCTCGTCCTTTACCGCACTGCCTCTCCGATCCTCTTTGCCTGCCCTCGCCGCACCACCATTGCCACCCCCAAGCCACGTGGTTGCTCCCTCCGAAGCCCCATGCTTGTCTCTCTCCTTCCCCCCCTTCTCCCCCGCAGCAAGCTCATTCTCCCCGCAGCAAGCTCATTCTCCCCGCAATCGCCGCGCTGCCTCTCCTCATGGCCTACTCCACCCACACCACCATCATCATGCTGTTTCCCGCCCCATCCCACCCCTTCCCACCCCTTTCCCGCCCTTCCCGCCCCTTCCTGCCCCTTCCCGCCCCTTCCTGCCCCTTGCCGTCCCTTCCTGCCCCTTCACGCCCCTTCCTGCCCCTTCCCGCCCCTTCCCGCCCCTTCCCACCCCTTCCCATCCCTTCCCGCCCCTTCCCGCCCCGTTCCCGCCCCTTCTCGCCTTCTGTCCCGCCCCCACCTCCTTTCCCTCTCCTCTGCAGGAAACTCATTCTCCGTTCCATCGCGGCCCTCCCTCTCCTCATGGCCTATTCAGGCCACACCACCATCGTCATCCCCAAGCCAAGTGTTCGTCGGTCCCTTCCAATCCCTTGCCCCGTGCTTCTCCCTCCCTCCCTGCCCCCTTCTCCCCTGCAGCAAGCTCATTCTGCCGTCTATAGCGGCCCTGCCTCTCCTGATGGCCTATTCAGGCCACACCACCATCGTCATCCCCAAGCCGCTGCGGCCGCTGCTGGCAGGGCTGGCAGGCGAGGAGGTGGCCGTGTGGGACCTGGGCGTGCTGTACAAGGTCTACATGGGCATGCTCGTCGTCTTCTGCTCTAATTCCATCAACATTCTCGCGGGAGTGAACGGGTTGGAAGCTGGGCAGACTGCTGTGATCGCTGCTGCGGTGAGTGTGGTGTGGCGTGAACATGCTTCACTAGGGCTGCATGCACCTGGGGAAGGGGGGATATGGAATGGGGGGAGGGGGGGTGTGGAATGGAGGGAGGTGGTAGTGTGGGACCTAGGCGTGCTGTACAAGGTCTACATGGCCATGCTCGGGTGTTCTGCTCCCTCCATTAATATCCTGGCGGGAGTGAATGGTTGGGAGGCCGGCCAGGCTGCAGTGATCGCTGCTGCGGTAAGATTGGGAGAAAGAGAATGTGAACTTATAGCTCCAAGGCATTAAGTGTGGGGTCTCGGGGTGCTCTGTGAAGCGTACATGGGGTGCTCTACAAGGCGTTCATGGGGTGCTCTACAAGGCGTTCATGGGGTGCTCTACAAGGCGTTCATGGGTGCTCTACAAGGCGTTCATGGGGTGCTCTACAAGGCGTTCATGGGGTGCTCTACAAGGCGTTCATGGGGTGCTCTACAAGGCGTTCATGGGGTGCTCTACAAGGCGTTCATGGGTGCTCTACAAGGCGTTCATGGGGTGCTCTACAAGGCGTTCATGGGGTGCTCTACAAGGCGTTCATGGGGTGCTCTACAAGGCGTTCATGGGGTGCTCTACAAGGCGTTCATGGGGTGCTCTACAAGGCGTTCATGGGGTGCTCTACAAGGCGTTCATGGGGTGCTCTACAAGGCGTTCATGGGGTGCTCTACAAGGCGTTCATGGGGTGCTCTACAAGGCGTTCATGGGGTGCTCTACAAGGCGTTCATGGGGTGCTCTACAAGGCGTTCATGGGGTGCTCTACAAGGCGTTCATGGGGTGCTCTACAAGGCGTTCATGGGGTGCTCTACAAGGCGTTCATGGGGTGCTCTACAAGGCGTTCATGGGGTGCTCTACAAGGCGTTCATGGGGTGCTCTACAAGGCGTTCATGGGGTGCTCTACAAGGCGTTCATGGGGTGCTCTACAAGGCGTTCATGGGGTGCTCTACAAGGCGTTCATGGGGTGCTCTACAAGGCGTTCATGGGGTGCTCTACAAGGCGTTCATGGGGTGCTCTACAAGGCGTTCATGGGGTGCTCTACAAGGCGTTCATGGGGTGCTCTACAAGGCGTTCATGGGGTGCTCTACAAGGCGTTCATGGGGTGCTCTACAAGGCGTTCATGGGGTGCTCTACAAGGCGTTCATGGGGTGCTCTACAAGGCGTTCATGGGGTGCTCTACAAGGCGTTCATGGGGTGCTCTACAAGGCGTTCATGGGGTGCTCTACAAGGCGTTCATGGGGTGCTCTACAAGGCGTTCATGGGGTGCTCTACAAGGCGTTCATGGGGTGCTCTACAAGGCGTTCATGGGGTGCTCTACAAGGCGTTCATGGGGTGCTCTACAAGGCGTTCATGGGGTGCTCTACAAGGCGTTCATGGGGTGCTCTACAAGGCGTTCATGGGGTGCTCTACAAGGCGTTCATGGGGTGCTCTACAAGGCGTTCATGGGGTGCTCTACAAGGCGTTCATGGGGTGCTCTACAAGGCGTTCATGGGGTGCTCTACAAGGCGTTCATGGGGTGCTCTACAAGGCGTTCATGGGGTGCTCTACAAGGCGTTCATGGGGTGCTCTACAAGGCGTTCATGGGGTGCTCTACAAGGCGTTCATGGGGTGCTCTACAAGGCGTTCATGGGGTGCTCTACAAGGCGTTCATGGGGTGCTCTACAAGGCGTTCATGGGGTGCTCTACAAGGCGTTCATGGGGTGCTCTACAAGGCGTTCATGGGGTGCTCTACAAGGCGTTCATGGGTTGCTCTACAAGGCGTTCATGGGGTGCTCTACAAGGCGTTCATGGGGTGCTCTACAAGGCGTTCATGGGGTGCTCTACAAGGCGTTCATGGGGTGCTCTACAAGGCGTTCATGGGGTGCTCTACAAGGCGTTCATGGGGTGCTCTATAAGGCGTACATGGGGTGCTCTACAAGGCGTTCATGGGGTGCTCTACAAGGCGTTCATGGGGTGCTCTACAAGGCGTTCATGGGGTGCTCTATAAGGCGTACATGGGGTGCTCTATAAGGCGTACTTGGGGTGCTCTATAAGACGACGGCAAACCCCATCATTATCTTGTAAAGAGTACAGCTTTACTGCAACATGCATTAGATTCGAGAGCAGCACATACAGCTCAGGAATAGATAATGGTTACCTCCAACCCACGCCACCCCTCTCTACCCCTCTCTACCCCTCTCTACCCTGTTGCCCTTCTCAACCTGCCTCCTCCTTGCGACCCCCCCTTACCCGTCTCTCATACTCCTCCCTCTTATCCTCCCACCACGCATCCTCTCTCTGTCTCTTGCTCCCTACCTTCCCCCTCCCCAGTCCCCCCCATTTCTTGCTCTCTTTCTTCCCGCCCCCTCCCGTACCCATTCAGGGACTGCTGTTCAGTCCAGCATCTGGCAAGTTCAAATACGCCGCCAGGCATCAAGCTGCCACTCTCTCTTTGTTTTGAGAAAACTAAAAAATCAAGCTGCCACTCTCTCTTTGTTTTGAGAAAACTAAAAAATCAAGCTGCCACTCTCTCTTTGTTTTGAGAATTCTAAAAAATCAAGCTGCCACTCTCTCTTTGTTTTGAGAATTCTCAAAAAACAAGCTGCCACTCTCTCTTTGTTCTGAGAACTCTCAAAAATTAAGCTGCCAGCCACTCTCTCCCTCTCTCTCGTCTTCCTCTCCCCTCATTCACTGTCGCCCCTTCTACCCTCCCCCTTCTCCCCCCTCCTCCTCCCTCGCTCGCAGGTGCTGCTGTTCAACATATGGCAGATAGGCGAGCTGCCGGGCTTGAAGCTGCCACTGCAGCCGGACATGCAACAGGCGCACCTCTTCTCCATCTACCTCATCCTCCCTCTGCTTGCATGCACTCTCGCTCTCCTCGTCTTCAACTGGTGAGTTTTCAACGGGTGTTACGCTGTGCGTCCAATCGGCTGAAAGCCGAACTCTTATTTCGTCCACTTTTCGCTGCAGGTGTTTCTCTGGAACTTTCTGGTGCTGGTGCTTTCTGGTGCAGGTGCTTTTGAGAATTCTCAAAAAGCAGCTGCTACAAAAGGTAATCTCCATCCACCTTTACTTCTGAGACGTTTCAGCTCAGCTATTAGCTTGAATCTGCTTTTGAGTCGACTCAAAAGCAGGCTCAGATATTAGCTTGAAACACACCTCTTCTCCTCCCACCTCGACTTTTGAGACCTCTCAAGTATCAGCTTGAAGCATACCTCTTGAAATAAGTGTGTTTCTGAGGCGTCTCAAAAACACACTTATTTCACGTGGTCCTCACCTCGACTTTTGAGACCTCTAAAATAGCAGCTTGATTGAAGCATACCTCTACCCCTCCTCATGTCTTCTGCCCTCTCCCCTCTCTCCCAGGTACCCCTCGCAGGTCTTTGTGGGCGACACCTTCACCTACTTTGCTGGAATGACACTCGCTGTGGTCGGCATTCTAGGCCACTTCAGGTAACCGCTTATCAGTTCAGTAGCTTGTCCTTATCAATGTTTTCAACCCGTCTTAATCGATCCATCGATTTTCTCATTTCCATTCAGTCCATCAGTCTATTATCAATCCATATTGACCTCCTCTTCTTCTTGCTGCATTGCATTGTCTGCTGCTACGACCCTGTCCCCCTCTGCTGTCTCACACACTCAACCCTTGCTTTCCCCTTTCCTCCCTTCTTTTCCACCAGTGAGACTCTTCTGTTGCTCTTCCTCCCTCAGGTCATCAATTTCATCTACTCCATTCCCCAGGTATGTTGTCACTTCTCAGAAATTTCAGAACAACTTTGTTTTCCTCTGAATGTCAACATGTCATCGCCTGCTCATGTTCTTCTAAGCAAACTTTTCGCTCATCCTTTCCCTTCCCCCATGCACCCCATCCCTCACAATCCCCCTCACCCCTCCCATTCCCCCTCGACCCTTTCCTCCTGCCCCTTGTCGTCCCGTCTCAGCTCTTCAAGTTCGTGCCGTGCCCAAGACATCGCCTGCCCAAGTGAGTACCATGCCTTTGCGCTCCGTTTTGCGTGAAATGAAGCGCCTCGATACCGTGCCCCCTCCTCCCGTATTGTCTCTCCCTCTTCGCATGCTCCTTTGATTCATGTCTGGTTAGCTCCGTTGGTTTTCCCATTGTCCGCCACATACTGGTGTACGGCGGAAAGTGCGCTTATGGGATGAGAGTGCCAGTGCTGCTCTTTTAACATCGCATTGACTCTGCCAGTGCTGTAAGCAAGAAGTACTCTCATAAAAACGTTGAACACGGTACCCTACCTCTACTTAAGATGAAGAAGCGGGTCAAATTTTCCCATCCTACCTCCCCCGATAGATGCCGGTGCGGGGCAGGAAGTGCCCGCATAAGAGCACGTTTGACCTTGCAGGAAGTGCCCGCATAAGAGCACGTTTGACCTTGCAGGAAGTGCCCGCATAAGAGCACGTTTGACCTTGCAGGAAGTGCCCGCATAAGAGCACGTTTGACCTTGCAGGAAGTGCCCGCATAAGAGCACGTTTGACCTTGCAGGAAGTGCCCGCATAAGAGCACGTTTGACCTTGCAGGAAGTGCCCGCATAAGAGCACGTTTGACCTTGCAGGAAGTGCCCGCATAAGAGCACGTTTGACCTTGCAGGAAGTGCCCGCATAAGAGCACGTTTGACCTTGCAGGAAGTGCCCGCATAAGAGCACGTTTGACCTTGCAGGAAGTGCCCGCATAAGAGCACGTTTGACCTTGCAGGAAGTGCCCGCATAAGAGCACGTTTGACCTTGCAGGAAGTGCCCGCATAAGAGCACGTTTGACCTTGCATCCTATCCTACCTCCGACCGATTGATGCAAGGTCACATCTGGCCAAAAACTTCACAGAATTCCTGGAGTCCCGACCCGACCACATCAGGTGCTGCTGGTAGCAGATGGGGCAGCGCCAGACCCTCTTGACGTCCCTCGTTAGGCCTTGATTCATTTTGCGGTAGGCCTTGATTCATTTTGAGGTAGGCCTTGATTCATTTTGAGGTAGGCCTTTATTCATTTTGAGGTAGGCCTTGATTCATTTTGAGGTAGGCCTTGATTCATTTCGAGGTAGGCCTTGATTCATTTTGAGGTAGGCCTTGATTCATTTTGAGGTAGGCCTTGATTCATTTTGAGGTAGGCCTTGATTCATTTTGAGGTAGGCCTTGATTCATTTTGAGGTAGGCCTTGACTCATTTTGAGGTAGGCCTTGATTCATTTTGAGGTAGGCCTTAATTCATTTTGAGGTAGGGTGCAAGGTCAAACGTGCTCCCATACGGGCATTTTCAGCCCCGCCCACACCAACACAACACCTGTTGGAGGAGAAATGGTACAGAGCATGGGAAAATGGTACAGAGCATGGGATAATGGTACAGAGCATGGGAAAATGGTACAGAGCATGGGACAATTGTACAGAGCATGGGAAAATTGTCGATATTGACTGCTGATCCGCGCAGCAGATAGGCGCATTTCAACCATCAATTCGTGCTGATTGGTGCATTTCGACCGGCTTTTGTGTGAATTGTCGATCTTGACAGCCAATCCATGCAGACTGGCGCATTCCGCCAACCAATCTGTGCAACCGCCGATTGGTGGATCCGCGGATTTCAACAAATCAGATCGGCAGTTTTGGTGGCCGATCCACGTGAATGGGCACAGTACAATCGCCAGTCCATGTCCCTCGGCGATTTCGGTGGCCGATTTCGTAAATCGGAGCATTTCGACTGTTCTTCTGCACAGATGGGCCACCTTGGGATTCGATATGCGTGTCTGACTCGTAAAGTCGGGTCAGGTCGATCTGTCCTGACAGGTGACGTCTGTTGAGGCGCCTCAACCTGGTCAACCTCTTCCCCTCACCCACCCCTCTATATCACACATCTCCTCTCCCTCCCCCCCCCCCCTCCAATCTTTCTCCTCCTCATTCCGCCCTGACACCACACCAGGTTTGACCCGGCCACGCACCGCCTGACGGGCAGCAGCGACCTCAACCTCGTCAACCTCTTCCTGCGCCTCTTCGGCCCCTGCACAGAGGAACACCTCTGCATCCGCCTGCTGCTCTTCCAGGTAGCCTCAGGACGCCTTGAGGGTTGTTCATTTTGAGAGTGGGTGATGGTTGGGTGAGGGTGGATCTTTGGCCACGCTGCTCAGGCTCTTCGGCCCGTGCACAGAGGAACACTTCTGCATCCGCCTGCTGCAACGCCAGGTACTCCCTGCCCTTCCAGGTACTCCCTGCTCTTCCAGGTACTCCCTGCCCTTTCAGGTACTCCCTGCCCTTCCAGGTACTCCCTGCCCTTCCAGGTACTCCCTGCCCTTTCAGGTACTCCCTGCCGTTCCAGGTACTCCCTGCCGTTCCAGGTACTCCCTGCCCTTCCAGGTACTCCCTGCCCTTCCAGGTACTCCCTGCCCTTCCAGGTACTCCCTGCCCTTCCAGGTACTCCCTGCCCTTCCAGGTACTCCCTGCCCTTCCAGGTACTCCCTGCCCTTTCAGGTACTCCCTGCCGTTCCAGGTACTCCCTGCCGTTCCAGGTACTCCCTGCCCTTCCAGGTACTCCCTGCCCTTCCAGGTACTCCCTGCCCTTCCAGGTACTCCCTGCCCTTCCAGGTACTCCCTGCCCTTTCAGGTGCCGCATGCTTTGTCAGGAGCCCCATTGGCAGCTCTAGCTAATGTTGCTGTCACAGGTAGCATCAAATGACCTGAGGGTGTATCTTCTTGACAGTGGCTGTGGTAACTGCACTGTGTCTGTGCTGGGTGTGTGTCGCTCATTCACATTGGGTGTGTGTTGCTCATTCACATTGGTCCATGCACAGAGGACACGCTCCACATTCGCCTGCTCTTTCTCGCGCTGTTTCTTTGCTGGATTGGCATGGCTCGCACTTGGATGGTCACGCCTCAGAATCATCTATTGCTCTGGATTGTTTCTGCTAGATGGTCTCATACTCATTCCTTCTCGACTCTCCGTCCTGTGTCACCCACTCACACTTCCTTTCAGTCCTTTCTTATTCCAACTCCTCGCTCTCCCTCCCCACACTCCCTTCTCACATTCCTTCTAACTCTGCGCTCTCAATCGCCCTTCTCACACTCTTCCCTCACACTTCCTCCTCACACTCCCTCGTCAAACTACCTCCTCACAGTTTTTCCTCGCACCCTCACTTCACATCACTCAGTCAAGTCACATCTCCTTTTCACATCCTTCCTATCCTCATTCAAGTGTTCCCTTATTCACCCATTCTCCCTTCAAGGCCTACTTGGCCTATCACGCGTTATGCCCATCCTCATCCCTTGGGGTTGATTCAGATTCCCCGTACTTACCATAGAAATTCCCTGCATTTTCCGTAGAGAATACCACTACAACCTTACACAGCGCACCCACCTTTCCTTCTCTCCTCATGCTCACCTCTTGTCCCTGCTCTCTGCTCATTCTCCTGTCGTTGCATCCTCTCGTATCTTCCAGGTCCCTTTGCTCTCCTCTGCTTCACATTACTCACCCCCTTCGTGTTTGCTCCCCTTTTCCCTCTCCCACCCGGCGCTCACCTCTCTCGCCGCGCATTCTCCTGTCGTTGGAGCCTCTCTTTACTTTCCCTCCCTCTTGTCCGATGCAGGTACTCTCCTCTCTCCTCTCCTTTGCATTATGCACCCCCTTCGCCTTCCTTCCCCTCTTCTTCTTCCCACTCGTCTCTCTCCCCCTCCCCTGCCTTTGCTTCCCCCCCCCCCCTCGTCCCATGCAGGTACTCTCTGCTCTCCTTTGCTTCTCTGCCCGCCTTGTCCTTCAAGGGTGGTACAAATGAGGCAGTGCACTCAAACTACACCACTTTGTGATCTGTTATTATGTAAGTCAGACTTTGATGACACAACGATGCTATTAAATGGGAACAAGGGAGTCAGATGTTTGATTGCGATTTAATACCTCTCAAGTGTGAAGTTGCAGCAATCTGTGATTTACTAATATGAGAGCTGTACGAAAGTAGGGTGTTTTTGTGCATGAGTGAAGGCCTGCCTCCTGTTACTCTCGCTGCAATATTTTTCCCGAATTCCACATGTTTTTGTTATGTTAACTTCATTACAAGATTATTCCCCTCTATGCTGCTCCCCGCCCCATACATACAACACACTCTGATCTCCCACTCAACCCACCACTAACCGGCACCTACCAGTAACACAGCATGTCACAGCTCCCAGCGCCGTGTGCTTGAAGCATCTACACCCTTACAGTTGAACACTCTGCTGCTGCTTTACACGCTAATACCCCGAATAGACATTCCATCATTGCTCGAAACAGGGTCCACCGCATTGCAAGAGCTGACCTGACAATCTCAGGAAGAACACGATTCGTTTCCGCCAGGCCTCACTGGCATCACGAGATGTTGCCATGAGGACGATCTACTCGTCATGGTCGTGATGGTCGTCATGATGGTCGTGATGATCGTCATGATGGTCGTGATGATCGTCATGATGGTCATGATGATCGTCATGATGGTCGTCGTGGTGGTCATCATGGTCGTCATGATGGTCGTCGTGGTGGTCATCATGGTCGTCATGATGGTCGTCGTGGTGGTCATCATGGTCGTCATGATGGTCATCATGGTCATCGTCGTCCTTCTTCGCCTTTTTCAGCGCACACGCCTTCACCCACACCGCGTAATTCGGCTCGCACCCCACCTTCGCCTAGTAGCACTGGTGGCGGTGGTACAGGCACCAGTCCTTGCAGCCCCACTTGCCGTACTATCAGCTCTTGAATGACCGGTACGCCTTGCGCCCGCACGTCTTAGCCTCGCCTCGCACGTCGCCATGCCTTCGGAGGAACTTGACGCTTTCTCCGCACACTCGTGCTTCTTCTCCGCGCACTTCTTCTGCTTAAGCTGGAATTTCTGCATGCATGTGAGAGGCTTCGGCTTAGGCTTTGGCTTCTCTTTCTTCTCGCGATGATCGTCGTCGTCGTGATGGTCGTAATGATCGTCGTCGTGATGATCGCCATGATGATCGTGATGGTCGTCGTCGTGATGGTCGTCATGGTGATCGTGATGATCATCGTCCAGGAATCGCCTGGCTGCGACAGTCGGGATGATACACCTCAGCGGACGAAAACTGTCGCCCAATTTCGCGGTTGCGAAAGGACAAGGCCCGCCCTCGGGCCCGACCAACCCTTGACAAGCTCCGGGTGGCAAACTAGGGCGAACTGGCACTGCTCCCGGGCACGCGAGCCCTCGGGATTGTCGACAGCCCGACGACCTCGGGTTTCGCTGAGACAACCCCGAGAAGGATATCTCAACGCGTGGCAATTTCCCAGCTCGACACGTCAGGCCGCGATCTTCGCCACACGGCAACAGGGGGATGACCGAGATCGTCCCTGAGGTCGCGGGACCAACGAGGGCTGCCGCGATCGCCACGGCGGTGCCACGTATCGCTCCCTGGTCGATCTGCTTTTCGCGGGAACACAGCGTGCCGACCTTTTTTTTGCGGGGAAAAAAAAAACCCGCCTATAATGCAATGTCGGTGTCGCCCACCTATCCAACAGCCATGCGTCTTACCCCGACCGGCCCCGCCGCTGTCTAGGTGCAGCGAATCGAACCACATACGGGCTGGAGCCAGAGGGAATGCCGGCGTCGACCAAGAGAGGCTTTTTGTCGGCATGACGCGCGGCTCTCCGTGATGTGTCAAACTATATTTGCTATAGTCTGTTTAGGCTGTAGTGGGGTAGTCAATATGGGGTACAACACTTCAGGGTTTCCTACTTGTACTCCTCATGCTGCTCAATGCATTCATTCCTCGTTTTCATTCTCACATGGTTTCAGAGCAGGTTCCCTAGTGGAACACTCTATAGGGCCCACCTCGATATTTTTTTTTCCTGCCCGGAGCGTGCTTCGCTCCTGCCCGAGTCGCGCCGCCCTTAGCGGCCCCTCTCACGGCCCCTTGAGCCGCCCTCACGGACCCGCGCGCCGCCTTTGCGGCCCCTCGCGCCACCCGTCGACCCCGTGCGCCGCCCTTTCGGCCCCGCGCGCCTCCCCTGCGGCCCCGCGCGCCTCTCGTCGGCCCCGCGCGCCGCCCCTGCGGCCCTGCGCGCCTCTCGTCGGCCCCACGCGCCGCACTTGTGGCCCCTTGCGCCGCTCCTCGGCCACGCCGCCGCCCTTGCGGCCCCTCGTGCCGCCCTTAGCGGCCCCGACGCCGCCCTTGCGGCCCCTTGCGCCGCTCCTCGGCCCCTCCCGCCGCCTTAGCGGCCCCTCGTGCCGCTCCTAAGCGGCCCCGACGCCGCCCTTAGCGGCCCCTTGCGCCGCTCCTACGCGGCCCCGACGCCGCCTCCTAAGCTGCCTCGACGCCGCCTCTACCGAGCCGCCCAGCACCAGAGCCGCCGAGCCGCCCAGCGACAGAGCCGCCGAGCCGCCCGACAGCCGAGCCGCCCGACAGCCGAGCCGCCCAGCAGCCGAGCCGCCGAGCCGCCCAGCCGCCGAGCCGCCCGACAGCCGAGCCTCCTAGCAGCCGAGCCGCCGAGCCGCCCAGCCGCCGAGCCGCCCAACAGCTGAGCCGCCAAGCAGCCGAGCCGCTGGCCGCTACCAGTCCTGCCGACGCGCCCCGGCCCTACTTACTCGTAGTGGTGAGCCCCCTCCTCGCTACACCTTTGCAGTCATGGCTACCCCCAGTGTCCTTACCTTTGACACTTAGGGCCGTGCTGTTGACTTTGAGGTCTGGGTCGATGACCTCCAGCTGTTCCTCCAGTGCGATAGGGCAGACGGCCTCTCTTTGTTCGACCTCACCTCTGGTCCCTTCCCTGCCCCAGCTGCTACTGCTGACAGCACTGTTCGCTCACAGTGGGGGACTCGCGATGCTGCTGCCCGTCTTGCTGTGCGTCGCCACTTACCGACCACTGAGCATGCGCACTTTAGCCAGTACAAGAGTGCTCAGACCTTGTACGACGCTGTAGTTGCACGCTACTCTTCCCTTGCCACTGCTGCACTGAGCCGCCTCATGCTACCGTACCTCTTCCCTGACCTTGCTGCCTTTCCCATAGTCGCTGACCTGATTACGCACCTCCGCACTAGTGACACTCGCTACCGCGCTACGCATCCTGCTGAGTTCTGCGCCAAGAACCCCCCCCCCATGTACATCACCCTCTACTACATAGTCACCCTGCTCCCTGACTCTCTCCGCTTAATCAGGGACCACTTCCTCTCAGTTTGCCCCACCACTCTCACCGTTGACCTCCTCGAGAAGGCCCTCCTAGTAGCAGAGACGAGCATAGTCGCTGTAGGAGCCTCTCGTGGTGACCCTCGCACCCCCGTCTTTGAGGGGTGTTCCCCCTCCCCCCTCTTGCCCTCTGTTGCTTCTGTTGCTGCTGCCGACCTCGTTGGTTTCTACGGGGTCGGCGCTGCGTCTGCCCCTAGCGGGAGACGCCGCACCAGCAAGGGCAAGGGGGGCAAGGGAACAAGAGGGGCTAGCGGGGGCAGTGGAGGTGGTGGTGGAGGCAGTGGAGGGAGTGGGGGTGGTGGTGGGAGTGGTGGCGGGGGCGTTGGCGGCGGCGGCAGCAGTGGAGGCGGAGGAGGCGGCGGTGGTGGCGGAGGGAGCGGAGGCGGCGGAGGTGGCGGAGGAGGCGGCGGTGGAGGAGGCGGCGGAGGCGGCGGCGGAGGCGGTGGTGGAGCGGGTCGCGACTCTACGCAGAGGAGTGGGTCAAGTGGTGGTCCGCGCCAGCAGCAGCAGCGCGGTCGTGAGACCCTGTCCCCTCAGCAGCTTCGTAAGTGGTACGCTGCGCGTCAGCACGGTGGGGGCACTGGTCCCTGCACTTACGTCCTCCGTACCGGCGACCGAGCAGGTGAGCAGTGCGGGGGGCCGCACTCCACCCTGCGCTGCTTCGGCCGCTTGACAGACGCGTGGCGTCGCCAGTTCCCTAAGGCGTCAGAGATCCCTCGCTGGGGAGATCTGTCTAGGGCGGGGGTTGCCATCTTTGATCTTGACTATGATGCTATCCTTGCTGCCATGTATGATGTGTCTACTAGTGTTGAGGGTGACTGTTACCTGTGTGTACCGCCTGACCCGGGCATTGAGGCCACCGCTCTAGGTGCTGGTGAGGCTGCTGTTCTAGGTGCTAGTGCCTCTGCTGCACCAGGTGCTAGTGCGTCTGCTGCCCCAGGTACTAGTGCGTCTGCTGCCCCAGGTGCTAGCGCGTTTGCTGCCCCGGGTGCTAGTGCGTCTGCTGCCTCTAGTGCTGGTGAGTCTGCTCTCTCAGGTACTAAGTCGGCTCAGGCCTTACACACCTTCACCCTTGACTCGGGTGCGTCCCGCTCCTTCTTTCGAGACCGCACCACTCTTACGCCGCTCAGTCGGCCGGTTGCAGTCTCCCTGGCGGACCACTCTGGAGGTCCTGTCCTTGCTAGCTTCTCCACTGTCTTACCGTGTCTTGCAGCCCCCTCTGGCACCCTGTCAGGTCTCTACCTCCCCTCGTTCTCTACGAACTTGGTGAGTGGAGCGGACCTACAGGATAGGGAGGTTGACCAGTTCACTTCTGCGAGTCAGCAGGTGACCCACTGAACGGACGCTCGGACGGGCCGACACTTGGCCACGTTTACCCGTCAGCCGGGGTCGAGCCTGTACACACTGACCACTGAGTCTCCTCCTGTTGCTGCGTCTGGTCAGGTGGCTGTGTCGAGTCAGGTGTTTGCTGCAGCGTCCAGGTCTGGTCCTGAGTCTGCTCCCTGCTCGTGTCGTCTCCTGTCCCACCAGACTCTCATTTGGCACCACCGCCTTGGTCACCCCTCCCTGCCTCGTCTCCGAGGCATGGCCTCCCGTGTCATTGTCTCTGGTCTCCCCCGGTCTCTTCCTCCCCTACCTCC